ACAAGAGAAATAAGGGGAGGCAAGGACAGTAGAAAAAAAAGTGTGCTGAATAGCTACTGTGGATGCAGCGTTATGCTAAGTAACTAGCACACAGCATTTTTTTTTGACTGTTCAACAAGGCCCCCCTTTATGAAATAATTGTATAAAAGTAGTATGTAAATATATTTGCAGTATTGATACAGTTTTGTCTCCTGATGATAGAATAATGGGTGGCTTTAAGTTTCTTCGTGCTCTTTCACATACCCCGATTATCTTCAGAGAAGGTATATACTTTTATTTATTTTTAATTTTAATTTTAAGAAATTAAAAATGTATACACTACAAAGAATAGTATGAAAATGTTTTAAAAATATAGGTTATATTCCCATAACCCAAATATAAATTATTATCATGTTGGTACTTGTGCATCAGTTCTTCTTTTCACCATTAAAATGATTCTTTAATGTAATTTTTATACTATATCAGAGTATTGTTGACTGGGGACTTTCCTGGTGGCTCAGTGGTAAAGAATCCCCCTGCCAATGCAAGACACACAGGTTCAATCCCTGAATCGGGAAGATCCCCTGGAGAAGGGAATGGCAACCCACTCCAGTATTCTTGCCTGGGAAATTCCGTGGATAGAGGAACCTGGCATCCTGCAGTCCAGGGAGTCACAGAAGAGTTGGACACGACTGAGTGACTCAATCACCAACAGTTGTTGGTTTACAGTGTGGTGTTAGTTTCGGTAACAAACAACATTTTTCATCCCTATGGATGCCTGTGGAAGATTGTTATCTCAGTGGCACAGATGAGGAGACAGAGGCTTAGGTAGTTTGAGACATGTTTATTTTTAAATTGATGTATAAATAATCACAAGTGGGAGTCTATGCTGTTTGTGGTGACAGTGGAAAAAAACCAGGGGGTCGGGGGAGAGACTCAAATCTCACTTATTAGAATTTAGCTTCAAGCATCAACGCCAGTTTGGAGCCGTGACATCCTGGTGCCCATGCTTGGGGGTGACAGTCCTGAGAACCACATGCCTTCTAGAAACATTTATAGGTGACTGACAACCAAAAAATAAAGGAGAAAAGAGTTATGATGAAAAACAATCCTTATGGTCACTTGAAGCATTTCTGTCTTATGTGAGCTCTTAAAGAAAGAAAGTTCTATTTTCTTCAAAACAACAAAGCCTTTTCAAGAATTAAAAAATGAAACTGAGAAACCGAGAATGCATATTCAGTCAAGCAGTTGCACCAGTAAGAGGCTGGGGCATATCTTGGATGGCTGCAATTATTTGCAATCCTGTCTGTCTCCATCCTTGGAAGTATGATTGCGGTAGAACTAAAGGAGTTTCTTAAGCCTTGGTGCTGAATAAAGGAGCAAGTGTGAAGGGCATGCAGTATCCTGTTTGCTCAATCCTGCATATAAAATATCCGTCATATTCAACAGTACTCAGCTTTTGATTTCTGACCCCAAAATTACCTTTTCCAAATTAGTTTGTATAAAAGCCTGGGCTTCCCTGGTGGCTCAGATGGTAAAGAATCCACCTGTAATACAGGAGACCTAGGTTCGATCCCTGGGTCAGGAAAATCCCCTGGAGAAGGGTATGGCTACTCACTCCAGTATTCTTGCCTGGAGAATTCCATGGACAGAGGAGCCTGGCAGGCTAAGGTCCATGAAGTCACAAAGAGTCGGACATGACCAAGCAACTTTCACTTTGTATAAACCTATCGCCTTGTACATGTACATTATCAGTGGAGTTTGTCAATTGTTATTTCTTTTACTGCTTTTCTCCTTTTAAAAAGACTTAAAAGATCATTCTCTAATTTGTAGGGTAAACCAGATTTCACAGTAGCAGTGAGAATTGTAATGATGGGCTGCCAAACACTATGTTTCAAGCTGTGATGTCTGCCTTTTTTGGAGATTATGGAGAAGCACATTGCTTCCAGGATAAAAGGAAGAAAGAAGGCAGATGAGTCCAGGTTTACTTTCTTTTTGTTGTGTTTATTTATTTGTTTTCTTTAGTGTAGGAGTGTGGCCTGTGGAAGGCATGAAAGTGAAAGTCACTCAGTCGTGTCTGACTCTTTGCAATCCCATGGACTATACAGTCCTTGGAATTCTCCAGACCAGAATACTGGAGTGGGTAGCCTTTTAGCCTTTCCCTTCTCCAGGGGATCTTCCCAACCCAGGGATCAAACCCAGGCCTCCTGCATTGAAGGCGGATTCTTCACCAGCTGAGCCACAGGGGACATCCAAGGATACTAGAGTGGGTAGTCTATCCCTTCTCCAGCGGATCTTCCCAACCCAGGAATTGAATCGGTGTTTCCTGCCGTACAGGCAGATTATTTGCCAACTGAGCTATCAGGGAAGGCATGGAAGCCAATTTAGAGCAGCCTCTGAGTCAAGCACTCTGTATCGTGTGTGATTCTTGATACAGAAAGACCAAACCTGGCCTTTGAGAAGCTCACAGTTGAAGAGGGCAGTCAGAAACACATAACATTCCTCTGTTCTTGGAATTCCCCAGGCAAAAAAATCCTGGAGTGGGTAGCCATTTCCTTCTCCAGGGGTTTCTGCCCGACCTAGGGATCGAACCGGGTCTCCTGCATTGCAGGCAGATTCTTTACTGTCTGAGCCACCAGCGTAGCCCATGTGATTTAATAGGCTGTATTAAATGCAATAATGAGGGGTTGCAAAGCATTTCCTGGGAGCGTAGGGAGAGGATACCTACCACTTTTGCCTGGGATTTCAGAGAAGTGGCCCCAAAGTTAAGCAACGGGAGACAGGGAGGCACGTTCCATAAAGTATTGGGAAACTCACATACACCATCTCTGCAAATAAATTCTGTACCTTCCAACTGATTTTCAAGGCACCATAGGTTAATAATAACTAGATAGACCCAAATGGCCAAAATTTTATTTCTGACATGAACTTAACACTGGTAATTTTTGTTTGTTTTAATGAAGAGGAAGCATGTGTCTTTGGAAATTGTTTTTTAAAACTCACATAGTATAATGTATGTAGCAGTAGAATTGTTAAAGACAGAGAAAGTAGACCTTTCCTTTTAAAAAAAAAAATTAGGATGAATGCTTTCAAGTAAGACTGGAATAAAAATGGAATGGGACCAATTAGAAAAAATAGAAGCACTTAAGAAGAAACTTAATTGTTGCTGAAAGAATTAGAATCTGATCGCATGGAAAGATTTTAATTAAACTCCAGAGTAAAATAACACATTGGCCTTTCTCCTAGGAAAGTATGATGTCTCTTAGAATTTATCAGCTATTCCTTGGCCTACAAATTAGTGGTGATTGTATGTTATTTTTCTCATTTTGATTATTACATGTTACTGATGGTAAGACTATTTGTGCAGCAATAACTGCTGAGACAACTATCCAGTTCAGTCGCTCAGTCGTGTCCGACTCTTTGCGGCCCCATGGACTGCAGCACGCCAGGCCTCCAGCTGTCCATCATCAACTCCCAGAGTTTACTCAAACTCATGTCCATCGAGTGGATGGTGCCATCCAACCATCTCATCCTCTGTCATCCCCTTCTCCTCCCACCTTCAATCTTTCCCAACATCAGAGTCTTTTCAAATGAGTCAGTTCTTCGCATCAGCTGGCCACTGTTGTGCCCAATGTCCGAATCCCCGAGCGGGAAGAGAGAAGGCTTCCAAGACAATGCAACTCGCAAAAAGGGAAGTTTATTACTGACTCGAGTCAGGGCTCCTGCCGTGCGTCCAACACAGCGGTGCAGGGTCAGAGAGCCCCGAGCCCCAGCTGTTACACCAATTTATAGGGTGAACATAAGCAGTTGGTAGCTGGCTTAAGCAGATTGGTTACATATTTGCAAAGCAATTTTATTGGTCCTAACTTTTGCAGGCTTTTGTTCAAACTTAGGCGTTCGCGGGCTTTTCAGCTTTCCCTCGATATGTTCCCTTTGTTCCCTTTTGGGCGCCTGTTGATTGGCTGGCTCCAGGCGGCCTGATGGGGGTAGGGAATCTTACCATTTCAGGAGAAACCGAAACTTAGGTCCTGGCCGCCTGTCATAGTGTTAGCCCTGGCAGCCTCACAGCCACAATATTGGAGTTTCAGCTTCAGCATCAGTCCTTCCAATGAACACCCAGGGCTGATTTCCTTTAGGATGGACTGGTTGGATCTCCTTGCAGTCCAAGGGACTCTCAAGAGTCTTCTCCAACACCACAGTTCAGAAGCATCAATTCTTCGGCGCTCAGCTTTCTTTTATTTACTTATTTATTTTTTTTAAATTTCCAGTAGTCATGTATGGATGTGAGAGTTGGATATGAGACAGCCATTAAGACTGTACAAATAGAAAGGTAGTCGCAAGTGCCCCTGTATATTTGGGTGGGAAAATGGGAAGGACCTAAGTTAAATCTGACAGATCCAGAATCAACTCTCTGGGCTTCTCTGATGGCTCAGGGGTTAAGAATCCACCTACCAATGCAAGGGACACGGGTTTGACCCCTGATCCCTGAAGATCCCACATGCCTCAGAGCAACTAAGCCCGAGGGCCACAGATAAAGAGCCTGTGCTCGCAAGCTCAGGAGCCACAACTGCTGGAGCCCCCACACCCAAAAGCTTGGACTTGACCACAAGAGAAGCCGCCGCCATAAGAAGCCTGCACACTGCACCTCGAGAGTAGTTCCCGCTCTCTGCAACCAGAGAAAAGCCTGAGCAGCAGCAAAGACCGAGCATGGCCAAAGGTTTTTAAAAATCAACTCTCCTTCCATAACAGAAGGCGCTGTTTTAAAAGGAATTGTTGACAAGGACAGCCATCATCGTATGTGTCAAATGTGAAATGCTCTTATAGAAATGAAAAGTGGCCAATTGAATAAGGAATTAATTACCTAGGAAGAGGGGAGGGGAGAAAAAGAAAAAAAAATGACTCACAGTGCTTTCATATCAGGGGATGAATTTGTGGACTCTCTGACCCCAAAGCATTTAGAAAAAGCAATATTTTGGACAAATCTAAACATTTCTTTTTTTTTTCATTTTTGCCCCCTACAGCCTCGTCACGTATTCAACATGCTAAAGAAGTATGTCCGTGCTGAACAGAAAGACAGACAGCACACCCTAAAGCATTTTGAACACGTTCGCATGGTGGATCCAAAGAAAGCTGCTCAGATCCGATCCCAGGTAAGCACAGAGTGTGGTAGTCACGCCACTTGGACAATTCAGTGTCCTTGCTCTTTGGATTGAATCTTTAGGTATTCCCAGAGTAGCTGTGGGTGTTGGACGTCTATAGCAAGAGTCCTTTAATACCTGGGAAATGCTAACGGCCTGTCCTAGGGCAGCATGTGATTTGGCACTTTCTGAGTTATAAAAATAACAAAGACTATAAAAATCTTGAGTGTCTACTGCTATTTATTCTTAAGGAACCATTTCCAACTCTGATATCTAAAACAACAAAAACATAAGTTGTATAAACCAAAACCACTCAAATATGGTCCAGCTAATTAGAGAGGACAGTCCCAAGCTCCATTTCCATAATGGAGCTTGGAAATAATATAAGACTAAATGTAGCTTGGTAGTGATACGTTTCATACTCTGCCATTTGCAAAGCTTGACAACTGGAATCTACCTGCGGAAATCTAAATTTTTAAATTTCCTTAAACAGAAGAGTTTTTCAAGTATCTATCATGAGATATCCATGTGATCCCATCTGTTGGAAAATTTGAAAGACATATATTTAGGATATCAGAGGTTATTTAGGAATCATAGTTGGGCAGAAGTGGTCTTTTCAACTGGCTGTATATGTTATGGTTATAAACATTTAATATAATGGGAAGTTTAAAGCAACTCAAAAGATGGAGAACTAAAGAGAACAAGAAAAATAAAGGTGCCCTTTCAAGTTCAAAGTTCCAGCAGCATTTTGTCAGTTTTATTTGGGAAGTTTGTATCTGTCTGCGGTGCTTGGTAAGGAAACTAACTGTTCCTTACTCCAGAGATGGCTCACCTGGCACTGTTTACCTGCTTTGCTGCAGGTTATGACACACCTCCGAGTAATTTATGAACGCATGAACCAATCTCTGTCCCTGCTCTACAATGTTCCTGCCGTGGCTGAGGAAATTCAGGATGAAGTTGGTGAGTGAGCTGTTCTTTTGATGCTGCACATACAAACATATTTTCCTCGTGCAGGAGAAAATCAGGGAACTGAGTTAGTCTGCCTCAGAAATCACCAGTGTTTTAACAGGTGGAAGGAAAAAGAGCAGATTCCCTTTGACGGTGAAACCCTTGGGGAATATAAGTAGCTCTCATTTCAACAATTGCATCAGATCTTAACTTCATGCTTACAAAAGTTGGGGAAATGTAACTTGCCTTTTGGTCTCTTTGTGTGATAATGAGCCACTTGTTACTGAATTGTACTTGTCAACAGTTGTCTAATTTAGTCAGTTTTGTAAGTATCACCTTATATTGCTTTGGTACTTTACAGTTTAATAGGAACAACCCTTTCTTCATCTCTTAATTCTTTATTATCATACTTTTGGAGTGGCATGATAGACCAGTTTTTCAGATGAAGGGACTCAAATCTACAGTTTTAGGAACTTGCCTATGCCACGTATACTCTAGGGAACCTGGAAAAACCAAGAACTGTGACTTTTGAATTTGAGATGATTGTTGTATTCACTAATGCATCTTTCTTTGTTGCCCGCCCTGCCCCCCGCCCCCCCACATAGTCACGAGTGTTCTCTGAATCAGATTGTTGTTTAAACTGAATTAACTGTGTGCCCACTATCTATCATTAAACTTTTATTTAAATAATCACACACTCATAAGAAGTTAGAAAAGTAATACAGAGAAGTCCAGGGTCAACTTCCTCATAGTAATGTCTTACATAATGCCATACATTTGCAAAACCAGGAAACTGATCTTGTGTGCCCACTGTCTCCTATGACCCTAATGATATCTTTAATATTTTATATGAGTAAGTTTTCCCTTTTCTATTTTTCTTGGAAAGGGAATAATGTATCACATAATGTAATTCTCCACAAACCCCCAAAATGCCTGTATTTAACTTTATCTCACAGAAGTACTTAGATGCAGCTGCCCCAGTACTTTATGCAGCGTAAAACAGATGTAAATCTGGGTGCCTTGGTGCATGAACTGTTTGTAAATAAGCAATATGTGTGTGGTGTATCTCTCTTCGTAATGAGTCCTGCCCTTTGTTAATTGGGTTGGAAATAGATGCTTAATTAGGTTTGAAATTGATGCAGGTTATCTGAAATCAGGCCACCCAGGATATGCTGTAGATGGTGTACAGGTGACAGGAATTCCTGCTTTGAAGTGCCCAAAACACAGCTCAATTTTTCCACCTCACACCAGTGCTATTCTACTCTTTTTTTTCTAACTTGGCAGTGCCTCGAAAGTGTAGTTTGTGTTACAATCAGGTATTTGGCCCTTAATCAAGTGGTAATGGTCTGTTCAGTGTTGTATGTTAATGTACAGAATTGTTTCTTTAAGAACTGATTATCCTTGTTAGATATATTTATAAGGAAGCGTTAAAATACTGTTTATTACGTAACTATAAAAAGTCCTCTAGTAAGTTGTAGAAGGGACAAAATCAAAGAAATCATCACATTCTTAATGAACCGAAGTACCCATCTTCTAGGTGAATGTATTTTTGCTTTCTAGCCATCTTAACAAGCTTATTTTCATAAGTGACTTAGAGCTGTTGCCAGTAATACGACTATGGAAGAATAAGCCATTGCACAGGACCAGAATATTTCACTCTCACTCAGTAATTGGTTGACTCTTTCTAATTAAATTATCAGATGTTTTTATTGAGCAAACTACTGAAAGCAGTGACCACTAATGAGACACAGTTCCCCAGAACAGATGGCAATTCAGCTGTCTTGAGTGTTGCAAAATGCCCAAGAATCAGGCCACACACTAAACTTCACATCTCAGTGACAGAGAGAATATTCAGAGAGCTAGAATCAAGGAATTATTTTTCCTTAAAACTAAAAAAAGCAATTAAGTTGGATTAAGAGCATATCATTTTAAAAATAGTTACCCTAAGTGAAAGAAGCTAGTCACAAATGATCATATGTTGTATAATTCCATTTATATAAAATGTACAGAATTGGCAAATTTATAGACAGAAATCATATTGGTGTCTGGCAAGGGCTTGGAAGGTGGAGTAATGAGAGTACAGTTAATGAATATATTGTTCAGTCACTAAGTCGTGTCCGACTCTTTTTGACCCTATGAACTGCAGCACGCCAAGCTTCCCTGTCCTTCGCTATCTCCCTGAGTTTGCTCAAACTCATGTCCATCGAGTCGGTGATGCCATCCAACCGTCTCATCGTCTGTCGTCCCCTTCTCCTCCTGTCCTCAGCCTTTCCCAGCATCAGGTTGTTCTCCAGTGAGTCAGCTCTTCACATCAGGTGGCCACAGTACTGGAGCTTCGGCTTTACCATCAGTCCTTCCAATGAATATTCAGGGTTGGTTTCCTTAGGATTGACTGGTTTGATCTCCTTGCAGTCCAAGGGACTCCCAAGAGTCAGATAATGAAATTTTTTAAAAATTAGACAGTAATAATGGCTGCACAACTCTGTGAATACACTAATACCCATAAATATTATACATTTAAAACAGTAAAATTTTTGGTATGTGAATTATATCTCAAGCTGTTACTTAATAAAAAATAAAGTCACCCCTTAACTTAGCACAAAAAAAGTTTTGTCATTCTAAGTACAGTGAACACCGAATCCTAAAACATAATCATTTTCAAAATTTTTCTTGCCTCTATTTTTAAATGGCTTGCGTTAATGAACTCCATTAAACAGGTCTGTGTTTAATGGACAACAGGTCCATTTGAAGTTCTAGTACCAAAGCCAAAAAAGAGCGTTCCCTGGGGAGAATGACTTTTCTGGGTTGAGCTGAGCTGTCTCATAGAAGCATTCTTCATTTGAAGGAACATTTTGAAACAGCTTCCTTCTAAAGTAGGAGTATGGATAAAACAGGGCCTCCCAGGCGGCACAGGGGTAAAGAATCCCCCTGCCAATGCAGGAGACTGAAGAGACGCAGATTCAATCCCTGGGCCAGGACGATCCCCTGAAGGAGGAAATGGCATCCCACTCTAGTATTCTTGCCTGGGAAATTCCACGGACCGAGGACCGTGGCGGGCTGCAGTCCATGGGTTCACAGAGAGGCAAACTTAGCGACTCAACAGCCCCAACAGATGGATGAAAAAAGATGGGCCATGGGTGCTAATTGTTTAGGCTGAGTGGGGGTTCTTTGTAGTAGTCTCTTTAGTTTTGTATATGCCTGAAATTTTCCATAATAGAAGGTGTTGATTTGTCACTTACTTTCTAGATAGGATCTTCACATATTTCTTCCAGTTTATATCTTGTACAGTTAATTGTTTCTGCTTAAAAGCTTCGTCGTTTAGTCTGATGGACATGCATCTGTGTTTTCGCTGTAATCAAATTTTAGATTTGGAGTCAGTTCATTGTAAACAAGGATACTAAAATTCAGAGCCACTGATCGAAGGAGAAGATCCAAAAGAACTTACTTGCTTTTTATGTAAAAGTTTGTGCTTATAAAGGCAGGCAGTTAGGATATGTTTAATACAGTAAAACATCTGGAGAGAAATACAGTAGTTTTGTGGGTTAATAGTTGCTCTGGAAATGAAGGGTTTTCAACAGCCCTGAGATACTGCCAGTATCTTTAGTGACGTAGGTTTACCTGCTCTGGGTAATTTATGCTCCCATGAGGGTAGAATTCTCTAGCATGGATGAAATTGAGGAAGAAGCTAGCCACCCCAGAGAGAAAAGGGCAAAAGTGAGAACTGGCATCAAATTTGTGGCATCAAAAAGTCCGTAAAGTGAGACTGGCTAGAGCCTAGAATTCACCATGCCAGCGAGTTCCAGCTCTGCTCATCTTCAGCCACTGCGCTTTGCTGAGAACCGCATTTGTTTATGCTACTGCTGTTAACTCCTATAAATCCTATGTTCATAAGCCTAACAACAGCCTGTCTGCTGAGTCCCAGTGACACATTCCAGACTGAACACAGGCAGACCTCATTTTATTGTGCTTCGCAGATACTGCATTCCTTACAGTTTGAAGGTTTGTGCCACCCTTGTCTCAAGTGAATCTATCAACACAATTTTCCAACTTGCATTTTCTCACTCCATGTCTCTGTGTCACATTTTGGTCATTATTGTGATATTTCAACCTTTCTCATTATTATTATATTTGTGATGGTGATCTATGATCAGTGATCTTTGATGTTGTTCAGTCGCTAGGTCATGTCCGACTCTTTGCAATCCTGTGGACTATAGGCAGCCAGAATCCTTTGTCCATGGCATTCTCCAAGGCAAGAATACTGGAGTGAACTGCCATTTCCTCCTCCAGGGGATCTTCCTGACCCAGGGATCAAACCCATGTCTCCCACAATGGCAGGCAGATTCATTACCACTTGGAGTTTGCTCAGAGCGTGTCTGTTGAGTCGGTGATGCCATCCAACCATCTCATCCTCTGCCACCCTCTCCTCCTTTTGCCTTCAATCTTTCCCAGCATCACAGTTTTTTCCAGTGAGTCAGCTCTTTGCATCAGGTGGCCAAAGTATTGGAGTTTCATTTTCAGCATCAGTGCCTCCAATGAATATTTAGGGTTGATTTCCTTTATGAAATCATATTTCAGATATTATTATATCTATGCCTATATTTCACCCATTTCTCAAACTCCAAACTATGTGTTTGAAGAAATCATTGGGTCCCTCTTGAAATTCACTCATTTTACGGTCTCAGTTGTGGGCTCTCAGCCATATCCATGGTGCGTTCCTTTCCTCCACCCATGATTGCTCATCAGTCTGAAGTGTCCTATGTACTCTACCTCCTGTATTCATGAGGACTCCCTTCTCTGTAAACCCACGTTGTTAGCTGAGATCCTCATCCTCTCACATGAGTTTCACTGGACTCTCAGCAGGTCATCCTGCCTCTTGTCTTACCATGGCTCCCTCCTACCCAGACTGTTCGTCTTCAGAACTGAATTCCTGCTAAAATGAAAAGACAGCCTGCGCAAGGTTCTTCCTTGCTTGAAAAGCGGCATCCTTCAGTGCTCAGCTGAAATGTCCACAC